GCCGGAGTTAGACCCAGGGATCGGCAGCGGCCACAGCGGGTCCAGGGCCTGCAGTGCGAGCAGGGAGCGGCCCTTCCCAGCGCGGGCTTGGCCGGGCTCCTCATCTCCCGAGGCCTCTGCCTGCCTGTGAGATGGCACTAGTGCTTGTGTCCTCGCAACGCCAGGACCCATGGCGAGTCAAAGCGGACAGCCGTGGACCCTGCTCCGTGTCCCAGCCTAGCGTCTGGCTGCTGGGGCCTGGAGGGCCCGGGACAGTGCCCTGGGGCCGGCCGGCCGTGACCACCGCCCGCATGTAGTGTCAGAACACTAGTGTCAGCCATGAACGCCGCTCCAGGCCCCTGCCAGGCCTCAGCCCCGCCCCAGGCCCCAGGGACCAGAAACTGGTTGCGGACTGGGGGGGACACAGTGGCGACCTGGGCTCTGGCTCAGCACCGTCTGGGCTGCCAGCCCCCTGCCGCAGGCTGTCCGGTGGGCCTGCTCCGGGCTGGGCTGCCAGCAGGACCTGCCTCGCGGCTCAGGTGGCTCAGCCGACTCATCTGGGAGACAGCACAGGCCCAGTACAAGATGGATCTACAAGATGGAGCGAGAGGTGGGAGCGGCAGGGCCAGGCCTGGCCATCAATTATCTGGGGGTGGGCGGTGCGGCTGGGAGTGAAGGAGATGGTGAGCGCTGGAGAAAGAAATATGGAGATGCCTAGCTAGTGAGAGGGGGAGAGGGGGAGAGGGGGTGGGAGGGAGAGGAGCCGCGAGAGCGAGCCAGCAAGCGTGTCAGAGTGTGTCAGTCAGGCCCTGGTCAGTGTGGCCCCATCTGGGTGGGGGAGGGGGAGGGGTGCTGCGGGGCTGGTGGAACCCCGGTTTCCCTGGGCCCAGGCGCGAGGGGAAGAGGCCTGGGCCTGCGGGGTGGCTGCGCACAGTGGGGGTGCGTGCTTGGAGGGCTGTGTGTGTGCTCAGAGGCCGCGGGGCTGTGTGGGGCCGGTTGTGGCTACCCGCGTGTGCCTGTGTTGTGGGGGTGCGGGCCGGGCTGTCTTTGTCCCCGCGT